TTTCTCTGATTGATTGTCACCTCCACATACCGGTGAGCAAAACCAGTGATGAAGACTCCTCAAGATACCAGTGAACAAAACTAGGGGTGAAGACTCCTCAAGATGTTGGTGAAAATTTCAGTTTGCAAACCGTTCGACTCTGGACTTTCAAACCTTAACAATTTGTTCGAACTATTTCTGTCAAACCTTAGCCACTTGTCTGGAGTGTTTCTTTCGAACATTAACCATTTGTTCGACATTTTAGTGTCGAACTCGATTACAAAAGGTGTATATTATAACCCTTTTGTCCTTTGTAGTCATTTTACATAAGGTTAATGTTGTAATAAAAAATAAATCAATTAATGGTTTGTCTTGAGATGAAATATGGTGTGCAAATAGAGGCACCCGTATTTTGGCCATTTTATGATAGCTTATCCTTATGGACAGAATAAGTTAGTGCCTAAATCTTGGGGGAAATTTTATTTCCACAAACTATTTCCTCTCTTTCCACATCTTTTCTCAATACACATACTAAATAAATTTAAATTATCAACTTTCACTCAATACACATCCTACCATGACAAAAATACTCTTACCATCTTCATCCTCCAAATCTTAACCCTAACAAGCCACCGCTGTTGTCGCTGCCGCCAACACCTCTTCTTCTCACTTTCACTTCCAATCGTTACCCCCACCCCTCCCTTCACCTGCCGGTGCCACTTTCACGACCTCTATGACAACTTTCAGAGAAGAAATACCAGCAGATTGCAAAACTGTGGGCGCGTGATGCATCACCATACAGGACTGGAAACCCAAGCTTCCTAGATGCTTGTTGCAATTATAGCACAAAACTTTAATATCATCATTTACATAATCTTTTTCGGGTGTAGAAAACAGAAGGAAATATTATGTAATTAGAAGGTTTGATTCTACTAATGACCATGCAGAGGGAATAGTCAATTAAGAAAAAAAGTCCACAATTTACTGTCCTTTCTACTCATGCCAAACAGCTATGAAACTGTAACAAGAAGATATAGCAACATGTGAGAGCACATAATGACTTTTACACTTCCTTTTGGTCACTGATTCCACCATTCCTCTGACACAAGGAAATGATAAGTGGAGTAACACCTTACAGAAGGTACATATCATGGTCTACACGAAGGGCTATTAAACCTCACTTTAATATAATGTTATTCTCAGTGGTTTCAAATATAATTTTTATATTCTCAGGCAGAGGGAGGTCGCAGTGGTAGAAAAGGCGACGGGAAGAGTGGAGGAGGGGAGAGACGGCGGCCATGGATGGTGATGGTGGAAACTGATGGTTTGAGAGAGTTAGAGTTAAGGTGAGGGTTTTGGGAAATGGATATTTTGATAATTTAATTTTAAAATAAAAATGTAATAAAAAAATTCATTAAGTATATGAAAAGAGAGGGAGCAGTGTGTTGAAATAGAATTTCCCAATCTTTGGACAAGAAAAAAATTAATATTAAAATTTTCATCCACCCACCTTTATTTAAAATACAAATTATAAAAATGTTAAAAGTCCTAAAAATTCTATCAAAAATTTTATCAAATATCTCACATGAATATGAAATCCACATTAGGTCCACATTGAGAATAATGCTACAGGCACAAACTTCGTACACAAAATATATTGAGAATTTAATGTGTGCATTGAAACTCTATGTGAGGCCCGCGCTACACATTATCCGAATCTACAACGCCTATTTTGCAATTCTAAACTCTTTGGCCTTGTTTGATTGGGGGGACTATGGGGGACTATCCACTATTTGGATTGTAATCTGTTGGCTACATATTTTGTAAAAGCCAGTTACAGTTCGACACGTGGCATAGTAAGGGTAATAAAGGAAGGTTATTCAAGCCTTTAATCCTGATCGTACACGTGACAATGAACATTGGTCCTCACATGATCCGAGTAACACTAGATCAAATAACGGGATGCAAGATGACGTGTCTTCAAACGGTTACTCATATTCAAATCTAAGTACAAGAGGGAAGCTCAACTGCCAGTAATGGCGTAATGGAGCTACTTGTAAGGAAGCATGACCAGCGATCATGGAGGAGCAGTTCGACAGTTCGAAGTGCAGTTCGAAGGTCATCACTGACGAGTATAAATAGCAGGGTAACCCCCAGAAAGAGGGACGGACTCAGACCATACAAACCAGTCATTTACTTCATATATTTTCTTTCCAGTCATTTACATTTCCAGTCCTTAAATACCTGTTCTTTAAATACCTGCACTTTAAATACTCGCACTGCACTTCGATTCATATCTACACGAAGGGCTATTAAACCTCACTTTAATATAATGTTATTCTCAGTGGTTTCAAATATAATTTTTATATTCTCTGGAGGGTCACAGCGATAGAGAAAAGGCGACGGGAAGAGTGGAGGAGGGGAGAGACGGCGGCCATGGATGGTGATGGTGGAAACTGATGGTTTGAGAGAGTTAGAGTTAAGGTGAGGGTTTTGGGAAATGGATATTTTGGTAATTTAATTTTAAAATAAAAATGTAATAAAAAAATTCATTAAGTATATGAAAAGAGAGGGAGCAGTGTGTTGAAATAGAATTTCCCAATCTTTGGACAAGAAAAAAATTAATATTAAAATTTTCATCCACCCACCTTTATTTAAAATCAAATTATAAAAATGCTAGAAGTTTTAAAAGTTCTATCAAAAATTTTATCAAATATATCACATGAATATAAAACCCACATGAGACCCACATTGAGAATAATGCTACAGGCACAAACTTCGTACACAAAATATATTGAGAATTTATTGTGTGCACTGAAACTCTATGTGAGGCCCACGCTACACATCATCCGAATCTACACCGCTCCGTCCAATCAAACACACCCTTTTTTCCGTATACACTTTTTTTATAGCCCCACACTACATATATTTATTTATTATTATTTATGAACTTACGCCATTCATAAAATCTGAGACTCTATCACGTTTAGTTTTGAAATTATGATTCTCTTTTAAAAGTTATGGTTTGAGTGTATAATTATGAGTTGAGTTTTAAGTAATTAAAAATTTATTTAGTTATAAGTTTTAAAAAGAATTTTTAAATTTTAAAAAGTACGAATTGAGTTTACCTAGTTGTCTGTCTGGATATCCTCCGAACATCTGTCCGGTCATCCGGCCGATTAACCGGAATAATGCAATTTTTTTTTGGGGCGATTGCAACTTGTTATTTGAAAAAAAAAATTTACATTTGTTTTAGATATTTTTTAAATATAGAAATTAATGTTTTTTTAGATTTTTTATAATAAGAATTTAATAATCTCATCACTAACCATCTTCAACACTATATCATCAAAAGAGTTTTGAAAATAGTTGAGAATTTTGAATTTTGAGTTGTGTATTTGGCTATGAGTTGTGTATTTGGCTATGAGTTTTGAAATTAAATTGTAGGGCGAATTACACTAAAGACCCTTATAGTTTAGAGTTGTGTGTCACTTTGGTCCATGACTTTTCAATTGTGATACATATGACCATGTATTTTGAATTTTGTTCCAAATATGGACAATTGAATATACCATTACTCAAGTTCAAGGGTAAAGTCGTCAATTTGATAATATATAAACTACTTTGACAAAAATAAATGTCAAAAAATATTTTTAAATTGTTAAAAATTATTTCTACCCATCAATGATAAAATTATGTAAAATTGATAAATCTTTTACATATTTATTTATTTTTTACCAAATTAATTTTTATTATATGTTTGGATGATGATCATGTAATGTGTAGTTATTTTTATTTTCATTAAATTAGTTTCTATTTTTTCAAAAGTTAAATATGACGATAATTTTGATACCATTATTAAACCAATCCATTAAATCAAAAAATTCAAAACAAAAAATATTTCTAATATTATCGATTACTAGTAACCACCCATTACACAATCATCATCCAAACACATAATAAAAATTAATTTGGTAAAAAAAATAAATAAATGTGTAAAAGATTTATCAATCTTACATAATTTTATCTTTGGTGAGTAGAAATAATTTTTTAAAATTCAAAAATATTTTTTTGATATTTATTTTGTCAAATTAGTTTATATTTTATCAAATTGACGACTTTGCCCTTGAAATTGAGCGATGGTATCTTTAATTGTTCTTATTTGGAACAATATTTAAAATTCAGAATTAAATGTGTTACAATTAAAAAATTAGGGATCAAAGTGACACAAGTCTTAAACTATAGGGAGTGTTAGAGTAATTCGTCCTAAATTTTAAATTGAATTTTAAATAATTTTGAATTGTATATTTAATTATAAATTTTAAAAAATGATTTAAAAAGTTTCCATTTAAAATTATGATTCCAAAGACAAAGGGAGGTTGACTTTCTCAATACTTTTTTTTCAAAGATTCAGCGTGTGTCCAGTTTTCAAAACAGAATTCGACCTTCCAGTCTGGGATCATGAGCCCACTATAGGCTCTGATTAAGCTAATCTGTGTAGATCATTTTAAAAAAATGTCAGATTGATCGTTAATTATAATCACCTGATTTTATCTCATTTGAATTTAAAATTTGGATGATTGGTATAATTTTTAAAATAATTCATTTATTTTTTAAAAACAAATGCATTGTATTAATTATGATCATTTTAAAAGATATCTATGTACAAAAACCTAAAAGATCATTGGATCAAATAGTCCACACCTCTCTTTGAAGACGAGAGAGAATCACTGTTCTTTTTGCAATAAGAAGTATAGCCCCGGAAAAAAAAATAATCACTCAGAATTTGAAATAAATAATCAAGATTCATTCAAGATTTAGACCTACAATAACAAACTTAAATGCTCACCATAGATGAAAAATTCATGATAATTTTCTGGATATTTTTTGGTACCCTCAAATTTTCCTTTGCCATAGAGACTCCCAAAAAATAAGAGACTATTCTGAACTGTGATGTATGATTCATATTCAATTCTTTTATAGTGAAACTTACACTTAAAATAAATCTTGATCGCACAATATTTACAAGTTACTTATTGACTTATTTGCCACAAGTTATCACATCAATTATCTACTCTTTTTTAAAATTATTTTCATAAAAAAATAAAAAAGAGACATACCCACACCATTATTGTCATTCCTAACATTCCTTAATTGTATAATATTCTGTGTATCATTGTACATCTTTCATATCTAACCTTACCAAATATGTTCCATAACAAACCATTTACCATGACATTTTTCTTTTTTTTTTGAGAACCTTACCATGACCTTTTGAGATACTTGAAATCCATAGTTGAATCAAAACATTCCAACCTATCTCTATACTGATTCAACAATTTCAACAACTCAGTAGCCTTCTCCTTTGTTCTATCCTCACAACCAACTTGTAAGACCAGCAACAGCTTCTGAAAACCACCCATTTGAAGCACCTCCACCGCCTGATCGCCACCACCACCATCATCATTCTTACATAGCTTCCAGAGAATGGAGACTGAAAACTCTGTTGCCACATCCGAAACTCGCAATATCTTCTTAACCAACACCGGCATGATTAACGCGTGGTTTCGAGCCTCTTCAATCCCTTCTTTGCAACCACAAATACCATCTAAAACTCCCAAAGCCTTCTCACAAATGCTTCTTTCAGCACAAACAAGAATTTCCAAAACAATTGAGACCAAACCCAAGTCTGCAAATCTTGATGCAAGTTTCTCACTCACTGTTGATGGTGTGATCATGTAGTAAATCACCATCAGAGAAGCTTTAGTATCTGTAGGGCAAATTGGGTCTTTAACCATCTTCACCAAAGCTTCATCAACACCTTCAATCTCCGCGAAAGAGATTACGTGCTTTTGATCCAAAGAAAGAAGCTGTTTTAGGGCTAAAACTGAGTTTTGCCGAGCAGAAAGATCTTCCCCTTTCAAAAACCATGCCATGCAACGTAAAGATTGGGCTGAACCTAGCTTGGATTGCCCTTCTATACCCAGTGGGAACATCCATGTCAATGCAGACAAGATCTCTCCCAACAAACCTTCATGTTCTTCATTTGAAACCGATGCAAAAGCCTCGAATGAAGCCGATAACACAAAACCAGTTCCGTTCTCTGCAATGCACTGCTTGTTTCGATCATTATCTCTTGCCCAAGTCTTGATTTTTAGCACCAATTCCATCGACTTGCTCTGATCACCACGTAGAGTCGCTGACATGATCTTTGAGCAAATCTCCGATACCTCGCGAGGGGTCACCGGGATTCTCGGCGTGGGTATGCGTTCGAAGCCGTGACAGCGGTTCTCAACACACCAATCTTGGATCATTCTTCTTATTGAATGGTTTGGTATTTGATCAAAACTTGTTAAGGCCGAATTGGTAACCGGACACTTGTCGTTACCGGATTCAATCCACTTGTCGATATTCTCTCGATCATATGTGATCCCGGTTGATAAAGTAACCGGATCTTTCATCAGATCGAGAGATATTGGGCACAGAAAATGACTGGGAATTGTAAGATCCATCTCCAAATTGCCTCCTCCGGAAAGCTGGGCACGATTACCGGCTCTTCGTCTCCTCCAAGATAAAAAAACCATGTTCACTAGAAGAAAATAAATAAGAAAAACAATTGTAACACTGAAAGATATATTAAGATTGAAGAGTGAATTTGATGGGCATATATATTTGCAGATTGTGTTTTTATTGTGAATGTTTTTTTATGTTTATATGATAAAAAGTTGTATGGGTGAGTCAAAGATTAGGGTAGAGAAGAAGAGTAGTAGGGGAAAAGAGAGAGTTAGGGAAAAGAAAAGTTCAATGTCATAACGAAAGAATGGAATGCAATGGAGAGGTTTAGACGTTGTACATAGTATTTGAATATTGACCGTTGAAGATTTGAAAAATTGAAGTCTAGGGCAACAAAGGTAATTTCTTTGATAATAAATTGAGTAATATTCAATTGATTGAGTGAGTTGGCTCAGTTTGACTGGATGACCCAGTCGAGTCAGGGACATGGCAGGTGAGCTCACAGTTTTTGATCGTGTGGACCGACTTTATTTCACATTAATTTCTATCACAAAATAATTTTATAAATCTTTTTTAAAGATTCAAATATAGTTTATTTCACATGAATTTTGACCATAGTTTTGATGTAGCTTGCTCCACTGTTTGATTATAACTTTAGTTATGGTAATCAATTTTTTTTTTGTAATAAATTTTAGATACCATTTAATGTACAAATAGATTTTTCTTTTTTATTTTTTCTGGTTACAAATACTTTTTATATTTTAAATCCATTTATTAGTGACATATCAAAAATATAAAATTTTATATTTAAATTTGATCATCATAATATTATTATTATTAGTAATGTTAATTAGAACTTAGACAAGGAGGGCCAACGGTTAAAAATATCCAAACATTTTTCTTATACTTTTATATAATCTTGAGTATTTATAATATAATTAATATATTATTCCTAAATTCTAAGAAAATATTTGGTTTGATTCCCTCTAAATCTGAGCTTGTTTGGTTTTGGTTTGCATAAAACAGTTTTCAAAAATTTTATTTTTTTATTTTCGTATTTTAATATTTTTAATATTTTTTTAATATTTTAAGCAAAATTTTTTTTTAAAATTTTTAGTCACACCTAACATAAATATACTTTTTTAAAAAAATTTTAGTCACACCTAACATAAATATACTTAAAAAGTATAATATTTGTGAAAAAAATCTGTAAAAAATACACTTAGGCCTCGTTTGGAAACAGGCAAATTTAGTATTTTTTTGGCTATTTGGCTAAAATATGAGTTAAAAAAAATTATTATGTTTGGAATGATTTTTTGGCTTTTTACGAAAAGATGTATAAAACGTAGAGAGAAAAAAAAATCTTTGACTTTTTGGTAGGGGTTGTTGGCTTTTTGGCTAATTTAGTAACTTTTTGGCTAAAAATGAAGGTTCCCAAACGAGGCCTTAATACCAAAAAAATACAAAAATAAAATAAAAATTCAATATATTTTTCATATTTTTGTGTATTTATTAATTTTTTAAAATATTTTATTATTTAGATATATCTAAGTAAGGTGCATCTAAAAATGTAAAAAAAATTACTTAAAATTTAAAAAATATTTAGTAAAAACAAAAAAATACGAAAAATAAAAACTCAATTTAAAAAAAAATTAAATTTAAAAAATTGAAACAAAAAAAATTGAATAATTTTTTTTTTTGGTCGCATGAAATTTCCTTCTGATATTTTACTTACCCTATATTTTTCAACAGCACCTTGAAATTGGATAGGACTTGGAGCCCTCAGTCATTAATTGAGATCGGAAGGAGTTGTTCAACCTCGTGGAATTCACCATAAGTCCCGTTTTAATAATTCTAAACGTTTATTTTATCAAATATTTTATGTATATCAATCATAAAAAAATTAGATCGATGTAATTATAACTTATTCAATTTGTTATATTTATCACCCAAAAATAAAAAAGAGACAATAATTGTATTTTCAAAAATAGACTATTTATTTTTTTTGGTGACAAACGTTATAAATTGAATAAATTACGATTATTAGACCGACTTAATTTTTTTTTTTTTTGGATTAATATACATGAAGTGCCTGACCAAATGAATTGTTCGGATTATTGAAACGAGATCCGTAGTAAACCCCACGGGCCCAAACAATTCCCTTCAGTCCGGATTAAGGACCGGAGGGGATCCAACTCTAATTGGATATGACCAAAGAGTAATATTAGAAATCAAGAATTCTAACACAAAAAATTACCAAGAAAAAATAATATGTTGTCTAGATTTAATTCTCGTATGGTGGGAATTCACATAAAATGAATTGGGATCACACATTATTTTTCTTGATACTTTTTTATATCTAAATTATTCGCCTTTAGCATTACATGACATCTCATATTATCATTTTCATTCATCCTCTACATATTTTTATATTGCATTCTCCAATTAAGTAGACGGGTACCAATTGATTTTTTTTAATCCACCTAAGTTCAAATGGGTGACAGATAGAAAGTCACCCGACCTAATCTAAATCGTGAGCTCCCTTAATACACACCTAATTTGCACCCATAATGTGGGGAAGTATTTTGGAAATGACGTTATGTGACCAAGGTGCCTTCGAGATGTCAACCGAGGTGTTATGTGGGCGAGCCATGTTTGCCGAGATGATTGTGGTGTTATCGAGGTTCGGTGCGGTAATGTCGAAATCTGAGATATCTGGATAGAGGACAAGAGTCCTAGATAAGAGGAGGCTCTTAGTCTAGATAAGGATAAGGTTCTTGAGGAGTTTATTCTAATCTAGCTGGGAGTCTGAGATGAGTATTGTGCTTGAATCCTATGAAGTCAGACTTCTAGAGGAGTAGGACACTGCTGGCTATAAAAGTAAGGTACTCTCGTAGGTCTAAGGTACGTTTTAATTTGTGCATTGAATACTTGTGCGATATCTTTGAGAGATTATTTGATTGACTTGATCGTTGAAGTGTTCCTGAGTGGACGAACCACTCCGATATTCTCATTTTCTTATTAGTAGGTTATTAACTTAATCTATTCTGCCACGTGCTCTCCAATTAAGTTTTCTGTTTAATTATGGTCTCGAAAATCAACCCTCACTCCTAATATGACGTATTTTCCTGTGGGTGGTCTGGGGTGTTTTTTTGTTTAGGCTATGAGTCCAATTATCGAAAAAATAGAAATAAAAAATTGCTTCAATAAAAAAAGTGAAGCTGTTAATGCTACGCACTAAAATTGGCAACAAATCTCAACCAAGAAGGCCAATTTTTAAATGTAACGCTAAAAATGACTACAAATCTATGTGGAAAAATTGGTTTTTATAGGTTTATTTTGGGTCAATTTTGAGCCTAAAATTGAGTAGGGTTCACTCGTCTTTTAGGGTAGGTTCAAAGAGGTAACATGTTCTTTGCCGCGTGGCATGTCACACGGTGAAGACGGTTCGTCAAAACCATTTATGAGTGAATGGGAACTTGACGTCATTTTCAGGTTCGTGGAATGGACATTTAAAAAAATAAAATGTGGGTTTCCTTGAAATGGTTATCCCACATGAAACTTTAAGAGAGTTTGTGTATGTATATAAACTCTAGGTGGCAACACTTGGGTTGGGCCCCAAGGGGCACTCCAAGTTTGTAGAAGGGATGAGTTATAGACAAAGTGAACCTTAGCCCAAACCACCGTACATGCGCACGTGTCACCCTCGCCGTCCGTTCGATCGGCCGAGCCGAGCCGAGTCGAGCCGTGCTAGGTGTGGGTTGTGGGTTGGGTCGGTTCTTATATAAATTTTTTGGACGAAATTTATTTGAATTTTTAATGAAATCAAATTCAAATTTTGTGTCAAAAATTAAATTAATTTTTTGTTCATTTTTATCTCCTTCAGTCCGAAATTTCCTAACAGATTCAACTGGTTTTACAGTTATTAAACTGCCAGAAACTGCTGCAGTTACACAGATTCAAACTGCACAGTTCAAACAAATTAATCTGTCCAGCAGATCTGTTGAATTTTGGACTGCATCTGTTCATTCAAAATTGCACCTGTTCGGTTCAAAATTGAATCTGTTCGGGTAGATTATTTTGCCTATAAATACCAACATTGTTCCAGCAGTTTGGTCATCCAAAAACAGTTTGAAAATTACTTGTGTTGTCCAATTTTCTGTTGTGTTGCATATATTCTTCATATTAGTTTTTTTTTTAGGAAAATTAAAAAGAGCATAGAACACAGGTTCTAGTTCGCCGAACAAATTGTTTGAAGTGCTACTATAATTTTTGAAGATCATTGTATCCTGAGAGATAGACGCCACTTAACCGTAAACACCATAGCCGGCGAATCTGTCTTAAGGACAGAGTATCACACACTCGACTTGATCTTTTAATTATTTTTTTCGGTGCGGTAAAATAAATTTGATAAGTAATCTATTTTATTTATTTGATTTGTTTCATTAATTTATTTTACACAGAAGATTGTTCCATCAATCTTAAGACAGATTAGAATTATTCTGTTTACAGAATTTTTCGTTTATTTCCCTTTCTCTTTCTTCTTCTTACAGAAATTATTTTCTGTGATTTTACAAAATAATATTCTGGTTGAAAAATAAATAGTAGTAATATAATGTTTGACAGATAGTAGTAATATACTGTCTATTTTCTTTGACAACTAATAGTAATATACTGGTGTCATTAACAATTCAGAATATTTATTTGTGGAATTTTGTCAGAAATTAATTTTGTTTTTCAAAAATTATTTATGAGTGTTTATTAATTAAAATTCTGTTTCAGTATTTTAATTATTGAAGTGTTACAGAAATTTATTTTTCTGTGTGAAATTAATTTGGTTAAATAAAATTTTATTTTATTTCAAATTAATTGAAAAATAAAAGTTACATTTCTTGTTTCTTTTATTTTTACATAATTTAATTCTGTGGTTTTGGTTTTTGTTTATGTTTTCTGTGTAGTATAAAATTTTAATTATAATTTTGTTTTATAATTTAGAATTCATGGCTACTGAAACTGGTCAAACTAATGCCTAAACAAGTACTAGTGTGGTGGCTGCAATTGCTCCAACCCCTCCTGTTGTTACTGTGCCAGTCAATTATGGTGAGAAGCCAGAAAAGTTCGCAAGAACTTATTTTAAAAGATGGTAACAGAAAATGTTGTTCTATCTTACAACTTTGAACCTGGCTCGTTTTCTTCGCGAGAACGCTCCTACTCTGAACGAGGATGAAACTGACCAGCAAGTAGTTG